CGGGGCGGGGGGAGCTGGCCTCGGCCTGACGCGTTTCTCCTCAGGATTGGTCCGAAGGAGGAGTTTTTCCACTGTTCGAAATGCAATTTGTGCCTCAGCGTGAGCCTTCGTGGAAAGCACAAGGTAAGAATACCTCCGTATCTTACAAAAACCCCAGACCCCACGTTGTGGATGAAAGCTGACAGCGCCTCGGCTCCGTCCAAGGCCACACGGGCAGGGGAGCAGCCGGTTCTCTTTCTCTGAGTGCAGCTGGCAGCAGCACAGAGCGCTTCTGGGCTGGCCTCGCCAGCGGTTGGAGCTACGGGGAATAGAGCATCTCGGTCTCTTGCTCCCTAAGAGGAGCCGTGGGCTGCAGGGCTGACAGCATGTGAGTTTGAGCTTCTGGTCCTGCTACAGTAATGGAAGAGCTCGGCTGCTGGCTTCGGCGGGGGGGCTGGGAGCCCTTTTCTTACGTCTGTTTTCAAGCTGTTTGGTTTTTAATATGCTAAGCCGCCTGTTATGTCTCAGAACTTCAAACTGAAATGCAGTAACGTTCCACACATCTTTTCTTACCATTCTAAAGGAATTTCAGAATTTAGAAAAATGCAGATATCCATGCAGTAGAATAACTTTTTAATTTTTTTTGTCTTTGCAAAGTGTATTGAAAACGTCTCCAGGCAGGACTGTCCAATATGTTTGGAGGTGAGCTTTTTCATTTCATGTCTTGGATTTGTGTGTGACTGTGTTTTTGAGTGTTTGAACTAATTTTGTTGTCTTCTGTCTGGTACTTGCCTCAAAACAGGATATTCACACATCTCGTGTTGGAGCTCACGTTCTGCCGTGTGGTCACCTTCTTCACAGGTAAAGCATTGCAGGTGCTTGAGAATGGGGAATAGCTGCTGCCTCGTGTGTGGCGTTTATTCAGCGGCAATATGGTCCTGGTTAGTCTGTACCAGCTACTCACAGCTGGTTTCTAAGGGACCCACACGGTAGGGGAGAAGGCGCTGTTTCATCAGGAAATACTTTCTTTAGAGCAGTTGTCTTCCTTCCGCAGTAAATTGGGGGGGGCAGTATCTATGTACTGTTCATTCTAAATTTTCCCATGCTGAATTTCCTTCTCTTATTACTGAAATTTCAAGAATCCTATAGGAAAGTCCCTCCTTGGTGCACAAAGCAGTTGCCCAGTGGTTTTAAGAGGTTGGTGGTGGCTCGTCAGTTAAGTTTGAGAGTCTTTGCTTAAACAGCCCCCCAAGACAATGGAGTGCTCTGTTGCACCACAAAAACTGCCAGCTCTATCGGGATTTTAAAGTGATGTGATATGTAGCGCTGGGTGCCTTTGGAGGGATCTTACCACGTCTCCCTTCCATTTTCCCTTTCTGCTTCCAGCTTGTGTTACAGATGTAGATTTTTGAAATTCCACTGGCTCTCTTGCTTTTCCCCCTGTTGTCTCTGTGTGCTAAGTGAATGGCCTCTTGAGTTTGTCTTAAGTCTCTCCAGACTGAATCTTGCTTCAACTCCTGTCCGTCTTAAACTTACCTTGTGATACATCACAGTCCATTTCTTCAACAAACTTGAACCACGCGATCCTTGTCATAGTGTTGGCTCTGTTCCCTCTTGTTAGACCTTTGAGTGGAATCAAATCTGCTTTGTCTCTGTATTTTTGCCTAAGTACCTGGTAATTTTGCTGGGAAGCTTTCTGCTCACTTGGACTCTGGATATTTTTTAACTTCTGGTTTAGGATAACTGTGTGACTTTTCCCTTTGTCCAGTCCAAATGTGTTACCAATCAGTAATTGCATTCTTCTTACTGAACTTCTCATTGTGTTTTCTTTCCAGAACGTGTTACGAAGACATGCTAAAGGAGTAAGTATTTCTGAACATACTGTCTCTTAGTGTTGTTGTAGTCCAAACAGATTACTTCAAGATGCAAAGATCACAATGTCAATCCTGTACCAAATAACTTAAAGCCAGCTCTTGAAGGGATAAGGGGTTTTATTTTCCAATTCTGTTTGCAAGAACTTCTTGATTCATGGTGTTTCTCTTTGACTGGTATGGTATGGTATGGTATGAAACGTCCTTTTGTGTGGACTTGTTTCATGGCCCCACTCCATCTTCTGATCTCGACTTTTTTTTTTCCTTTCTGCCAGAGGTTACAGGTGTCCTTTGTGCATGCACTCGGCTTTAGATATGACAAGGTACTGGCGTCAGCTGGATGACGAAGTAGCGCAGACTCCTATGCCCACGGAGTATCAGAACATGATGGTGGAGGTGAGAGACAAGGCTTGCACCGATGTCTCCGGTCTTGGCAGATCTGTGCCTTTGCGTTACTGGCAGTAGAGGGCACTAGGAACCTGTTCTGGATCAGAATTCAACCTGACGATTAGGAAAAAAAAAACCAAAACACAACCCCACAACCTCTTAGTGTTGTAGTATCACACAGCAGAGAAATGGCTTGGTCTGTGGAAGTATCTTGCTTTCTCCAGCAGTGTTAGGCGCTGTCATAGCGAAACAGGAACATTTGTTTTTTAAGAGCTTGGAGCTTCATGTTCCAGACTAAACATGGTGGATTTTATGCAAAAATACTCAGCTATTGATTTGTGCAAGGCTAGCACATGGAGACTTTGAATGTTTTCTTTCTGTTTCTTTGTGCTAACTCAGAATTGCAAAACTGTTTGCTGTTTGCAGGTGACACTGAAATAAACAGCCCTGGTCATTAAGATTTTAGTTGTATCTGTTAGGTTTAGACAACCCATCCTACCAGCTCTTGGAGTCAAGATGTTTGGAAAAAATCTCTTTACTGCCTGTTTTGAGAAGAATGCTCACTTTCCTGTCTTGCACAGCAGACTGGCTAATGTTGCTAGCTGCTCTCATTTTCAGTTCAGGGTTTCTCTGGTGGTGTCCTACATCAAGAGAAGATGCCAAAACATGTTTGTCCCTGACTTACACAAGGAGTGATACTGAAAGTAAATTCTCTGTGATTATACAGTGTGATCTGAGTAGTTACAAATGGAAAAGTTAAATCAGCCCTGCTGTCTTTAAAAGGAAGATATTTTCTTCTTTGTCCCCTGATGGTAAACCCGTTCTGTGGTTGCTAGAGGCATGGTTGTAGTATATTTCTGAGTCTCCTGCTGATGCTAAAGCTTCTCTCTCTCTCTCTCTCTCTCTCTTGTGTGTGTGTAGATCCTTTGCAATGACTGCAATGCCAGGTCTACAGTGCAGTTCCATCTCCTAGGCATGAAATGCAAGAACTGTGACTCCTACAATACTGCCCAGGATGGAAGATGCCGGCTGCCTTTGGAGGAGCAGTGACCAAGATACGCGCTGCATTTGGCTGGACGAGGAAGACTCTGCCATGGAAGAGACTATCTATTTAAAAAAAAGAAAACACTTGTCATTAAAAATCTATTCAAAGTTGTCAGGGCACCAGTGAAATGGTTACAAGATTTAATTAATGTTGGTGCAACGGAGTTTTGGTAATTGTGCCCCCCTCCTTAGTACCCGGGGTACAGCGCAGTCGGGGCCCTCAGGAAATTCCCCATTGAGTAGTGTGATGCCAATGAAGATGAGCTTCAAGAGAGAATGGTGCCCTTTGAAAGCACACTTTACTGTGTCAGAGAAGAGACAGCCTAGAAGAATAATGAGATGCAAAATGAGGAATGGTAAGCAGCTGACACAGCAGAAGATCTTTTGGGGCAGCTGAAGGCTGTGAGCGTAACAGGAGGTGGAGGTGTAGCTGTTCTGATTGCTGCTGTTGGGGAAAATTGGTGGCTTTGAGAGCAGCCGTTTTACGTGAAGCTGACATCTGCAAAGTTTTACTCGAGTACGTTTTGTTCCTGTTAGATGATGTGTTTGTCCTAGGGCCTCAGAGCCATCGGTGCAAGTGGCTGGAGAGGCTGAGCTTGCGAAAGTGGCATCCTTTAGCTTGATTTGTTGGCACGTGTGTGCGTGCGGCGTGTGTACAGAATTCACCTCCAAGCAAGGCTGGCCTGCTGGCGTAGGTGTGAACAGCCTAAAACTCGGTCTGCAAGGCTGCCCTGCTTCCCCGAACGCCCGTCTGACCTGCTGTCTCCTCGTGTGGATTCCTTTGCTGGCTGCGGTTGTGTTGACACCCGTTTCTTCCTTGCTGTGCTTTACTCCCTTATAAAGGCCGAGGTGGCGTCGGGTTTTAGGCACGTGTGGCGTGATGTTTCGGCGGTGAAGTACATTGTGTGAAGCACAGGCTGTTGTCAGGAGTGGCATCGGGCTGGGCCTGAGCTGTTTGCTTAGGGTAACAGCAGTTCACGGAGGCACGCGAGTAGTGCGGGGACCAATTTTCTGTGGTTTTGGGGGTTTTTGTAGTGGTATCTGATTTCACTGCGGGGAGAGGATGAAGGAGTGTTTATAAAAAAATGCAGTGCCATCAAACCTTCCCACTGCTCTTCGTGTAATATCCTGCCCAGGGTGTTTTGCAGTCTAAATATTACAGAAAGCTCTTAGTTTCTGAGAATTTCAGAACATGCAAAGAGTTTCCAATAATGAAATAAAATATAAAAAAAAATTAAGTCCAGTTACTCTTCATGGTACAACTGCTTGTTTTTAACTTGTTCTGCTGTCAATCAACAGCTTTTCTTAATCTGACAGTGCCCCTTTTATGTATGAAATGCTAGAGGACTCGGATGATAGCGTTAGTGTAGCTTGCCTTTATTGGAATATCTTTTTCTGAAGCACTTTTCTTACTGCTAGAAATAAATGTAAAATAACATCTCTATTAAAACAAACTATGCTATGTGGGATGTGCTCTCCTGTTAGACACATACTCTCTGGAAATTAAACTGATGGAATGCTGAAAAATGAGGGTTAGGTGACTGGATGTGTGACCCCCGGGTCTCTGTGACCAAAATAGTGGTCTGAACAGCCCTTATGTTTCCGTATTCTTGCGGTACGAGGGGAGAGTGTCTTACCCTGGCACGGCACAAGGGGGACTGGTCCCAGTCTGGGCTCCCTGGTACTGGGAGGGCTGGGATGAGCTGGAGGAAGTCCCATGTGGTGCGGCTGGGCTGGACGCGGGGGCTCTCCCTGCCATCCGCAGCGTTCCCGGGGAGGGGATGGAGCCAGGCCCCTCCAGGAGGTACCCGGCAGCAGGCTGGGAAGGAGAACGTTTTCGCCATGCGGGTGGTCTGGAGCGGGCCCATAGCGTGTCTCCATCCCCCGTGGTGGTCCAGGCTCCACAGGCAGGCTGCTGTGCTGGGGCTGGTTGGACCCCACCCCCGCTGCAGCGTGACACCAACTGTCGGTTACCCACGCTCTGCTTGTGCCACATTACCTACCCTTGAGGCGGGAGACTCTTACATTTTTGTACAAACACTTAAATCCAAGGTAGCAGAGCCCCTCCTGCGTCGCCAAACCTCCCTGGTGAGAGCAGGGGTGCCTTTGCCCTGCACAGCACTGCGCCACTTGTCTCCTCACGGTTAACTAGCTGTGTCACAGGCGAGCGGTGAGTTAACCGTGCTGGAGGGGAGGCCCCGTTAAAACTGAAACCGGAGCAGCTTGCGTCATGCCAGGAGCAGAGCAGCTGCCCAAGCCCCGTTTCTTCAGGTCCCAGCCCGTGTATCTGCTCTCCCACCCCAAACCTGCCCCTGCCATTCTGCTCCGTCTGAACTACAGCACAGGGGACGTGGTCAGCCGTAGCTATGTGCATGGCAGAGCGGGTGCTTTGGGTTGAGGCTGGCTTTCTCCGCTCCCCGTGGCAATTTGGATGAGTCCCACCGTGGGGAACCATGTCTGGGGCCATGTGGGCCGCATCAGCTCATCCGGAGCCCAGAAATAGCATCAGGGCAAGCCTGGGTGGGAGCAGGGTGGTTGGTGGGGGAGTGGGTAAGGTTTCCTTCCTGGAGTATCTCCCTGCCTTCGGGGGTGCACCTAGGGATAGGTGCTTTCTGGAGACTTTTTTTTTTGGGGG